TTATTTAATCAGATATGTAAATATTTACTAATTCTGATTTTGTGGCTCTGGTTCATGATATCCCACCTTGGAGTGTGTATAGCACACGTGCCAATCTTCTCACTTGTCGTGTACCTAATTATGTAATACTACATAATATTACGCACAGGTAGGGTATACAGGAAGATCGATCATTAAGTTTCATTGAGATTTGAAGTCCGTGTATACACAGTAAACATGAATTCAGACATTCATATCATTGTAAACAAATTTTAACAATAATGAATTTTGATAGAACAATAATATACCGTATATAGCGAGAATATTTGGAACTTTCGATGGATTATTTTCTCTCTAATTGAAATAAATAAATAAAATAGATTACTTTCATCACTTTTCTTAAATCATCGAGTTCTTGCCTAGACTAAGATATTGTGAAACTTTGAAATGTTAATTAAGATAAAAAAAAAAACTAATGTGTTTTATATTTTGAAAAGAACTGGGTACGGTATGAATAACGAGGCGGCCCTGTCTCTAAATCTGATTGAAGTTTTTTACAAACATGCCCACGATGCGTCCTTTCAAAATCATTTTATTTTTTGGAATTATCTCTTACCGTTTTTTCCGCCAGAGGTTTGGGAAAATGGTGCATTTTCTTTAATAATTACAACTTTTGACGTAACGACGTCATCACGACGTTACTGATTTTAATATTACGTTAAATGAAATCTGTAAATTCTCTTAACCCAGAACTATGTACTTAATCCTACAAATATTCCAGTAAACCATTTTGAACTATCTTTCAATTTATCATACATCGTTGATAGTTTGAAATAGTTTAATAATTTTAGAAAAAAAAATTAACAAACGATTGTACCAAACACACTAGTCTACGAAACTTTATTCATCCAGATGAAATGAGGTGAGTACTTAAAGAATTGAACTTTATATTATTAAAAGTTTTGTTTATTTCCATGACAGCCCAGATCGCTTATACATGTTGCATACATGGTATAAACACATCATGCTTTCAGTAAATTTTATTCTACAGACTATTCTTTGACGTTATATCTGAAATAATGATAAAATAGAACCCCATACCGAATTACTAGGTATGGGTTTCCAAGTTTGTTTGTCTTTGTTTTTGTTTTTGTGGAACATCAAGTGCTTGCATGTCTTATTTGTTTTTTCTTTAGAATTTGATTTACCTTATCGTCCTTTTCTCTAAATGAATGAAAAGAAATGATTTTGAACATACAGGTATAAACGATATTTTGTACACATGTCATTTACATGCTGATTTTCTTACTCATTTCGTTTATTTCCTTCTCTGCTTGATGTATACATGGATGTGTAGGAATAGTTTAAATATTACCATTTTTCTTACCTGTAAAATTTTGTATTTATTTTTATAACTATGTTGCATATAATAAGTTAATATAACCTGAAAATCAGAAATAATATTTATTTCATTGATGTTTAAAAAGTTTAACATTAAATATTTCAGATTCTGATTCAAAACAACTACGGTAACCCGTAAATCGCAAAGTTTTTACTGCATATGTGCTCCTGAGTCATTGTAAATTCTATAGATAAACACGAAACCAATAATATATTACTTAAAAAAAGAAAGAAAGAAAAAACATGATGTCCATGGTCTTCACACAGCAGTTCCTGAGTAAGATTTATCTCCTTTAATACTATATACTCTTGTATCAAACACTAAATAAATAAAATATATATTTAATTTTTTTTTTGATTAATTTGTTGTCAAATATTAACCAAATACTTTTGCAAAGTAACATTTCAAATATTGTAATGAGAAATTAGAGAAACAACGCCGCAGGCGTTAGATTTTTCGTCAGGCATGCTCCACGCCCGCTGCATTTCATTTCCGGACATATGCATAGCATTTCCGACATTTTTTTATTTCATTTCCGATTTTTTTTAAAATTTTTTGTTTTCATTTCCGACACAATTTTTTTTTTCATTTCCGGAATTTACCTGTGCGGCAATTCAATGTTTTATAAGTAAAAGAAAATTAAATTTTAAAAGTATATACCAAAATATTCATATTGAAAAAAAAAAACATCTATACATATATGCATACATGTAGCACTAAGTCTAGGTAAGAGATTTCAATGTAATCAATGAGCATTAACTTTTTCACAACATTTGATGTGCACTTAATTAAATGTCGGTGACAGCACCATACTTATCTCCAAGTCACTGATAGCTTTACAAAATTGGATTTCAATGCTTTATTTGTGATTTATTCCTTTAAATTTTTCATAAGTAAAGTTATCAAATCTGTTACTTTAGGTACTACATATGTATTTGAAAAATGTCGGAAATGAAAACTAAAAAATGTCGGAAATGAAAAGTTGATAATTACCAAAAATTCCGGAAATGAAATGCAGCCTCCACGCCGTATACAAACTTTAAAACGATTAAAAACCCCATTCTGTGCTTTTAACATTATTGTTGTTTCCTAAAACATTAACTACAGGGTCTAAAAAAGTAATATATCTAACAAAAACCAAATTAATTCCATTAATAACACGGCAGGCGTATACATTTTCCCGGCAGGCGTATTTTCCCCAGGCAGGCGTCGGCAGGCGTATTTTAGTGGTACCCACTTTTATGAGCTTGATTAGAAATTTTTCCTTGATCGTATCCACCGTGTTTATAGATTTATCCTTATATTTATACACCTGTAAGGTTGAAAAGAAAGTTACAGATTATAAAAATATGTATGTGAGCATCAACATTTATTTTAAAAATGATCTATCATATTTTGACTCTGGGACGTCAGGAAAAAATATACATAATTATAACAGCAAATTCCGTTTAAAAATCGATTTGGAGGCGCTTTGAAAATTTGGGGTGACCAAAATCAGGGGGTGCTTTGACCAATATTTGGGGGTGCTTTGGAAACTTCGTTTTTCTATAAAAATATGTCAGGGGGCGCTTTGACCAAAATCAGGGGGCGCTTTGACCAATATTTGGGGGCGCTTTGACTAAACCTCAAACGTTTTTCTATTTAAAAATATGTCAGGGGGCGCTTTGACCAAAATGTGGGGACGCATTGACCAATATTTGGGGGCGCGCTTTGACCAAAATTTGGGGACGCATTGACCAATATTTGGGGCAATTTGGAAACTTCCTTTTTCTATAAAAATATGTCAGGGGGCGCTTTGACCACAATCAGGGGGCGCTTTGACCAAAATTTGGGGGCGCTTTGACCAAACCTCAAACGTTGTTTTTCTATTAAAAAATATGTCAGGGGGCTTTAACCAAAATTTGGGGACGCATTGACCAATATTTGGGGACGCTTTGGAAACTTCGTTTTTCTATAAAAATATGTCAGGGGACGCTTTGACCAAAATCAGGGGGCGCTTTGACCAATATTTGGGGGCGCTTTGTCTAAACCTCAAACGTTTTTCTATTTAAAAATATGTCAGGGGGCGCTTTGACCAAAATGTGGGGACGCATTGACCAATATTTGGGGGCGCGCTTTGACCAAAATTTGGGGACGCATTGACCAATATTTGGGGGCAATTTGGAAACTTCCTTTTTCTATAAAAATATGTCAGGGGGCGCTTTGACCACAATCAGGGGGCGCTTTGACCAAAATTTGGGGGCGCTTTGACCAAACCTTAAACGTTGTTTTTCTATTAAAAAAATATGTCAGGGGGCGCTTTGACCAAAATCAGGGGGCGCTTTGACCAATATTTGGGGGCGCTTTGGAAAATTCCTTTTTCTATAAAAATATGTCAGGGGGCGCTTTGACCAAAATCAGGGGACGCTTTGACCAAAATCAGGGGGCGGTTTCGTAGTATCATATTTCTTTAAAATATGTCAGGGGGCGCTTTGACCAAAATCTGGGGACATTTTGACCAAAATCATGGTACGCTTTGACCAAAATCTGGGAACGCTTTGACCGGGACGGTTTTAATTGGGAACGCTTTGACTGGCTCCCATTGGAAATATCTATGGCACGCCAAATTCACAAAAATGAGATAATCATAGTTTCACAATTGATAAACTAGGTTTATCGACTGTAAACTATAGTTTACAAAAGGTTAACTATAGTTAACGATTCGTTAACTATAGTTAACAATTCGTTAACTATAGTTAACGATTCTTTAAGGATAGCTTTCATCTGTAAAACTATATTTAACGGTTGTTAACTATAGTTTACGAATGATAATCTAAGTTTATATGTCTGTAATGAAACGTTAACAATACATTTTGTTGATAAACATAGATTCACGTCTGTAAACTATAATTTACGATCGTTTACTATAGTTAAGAGTTATTAATCATAGTTTCACAAATCGTGAAACTATATTTATCAGATCGTTAACTATAGTTAACGGTTTGTAAACTATAGTTTACAAATCGTGAAACTGTATTTATCAGAAAATCTATGTTTTGCAATCACAAATGATTGTTTTCGGTGTTAAGTATAGTTTACGGTTGTGAAACATAGATTATCGCGTTAACTATGGTTTACAGATGTGAAATATAGATTAACGTTGTTAACTATAGTTTACAGTTCGTAAACTATAGTTTACAACCGATAAACCTAGTTTATCGATTGTGAAACTATGATTATCTCATTTTTGTGAATTTGGCGTGCCATAAATATCTTTAGAAATCTCAGAAACAAAAATGTCATGACTGGTGATATGTATACGCTAGCATCTTCATGTAGTATAGATTTAAGTTTGTTCAAATCATGACTCCTATGTGTAGGAGAGAGCCCCAATGGTGGATCAAAATGGATAGGGGAATATATAGGAAATGTCCTCTCAATAATACCAAAGCCATATATAGTCATATTGACATGGGAGCATCCTTAGGTAGTGTAGATTCACATTTGTCCAAATCTTGATTCCAGGGGGCAGGGAGGGGCATCAATGGGGATAAAATTTTAACAAAGGAATATATAGAAAAAAAAATCTTTATTATGTTCAAGAACAGCTAAGCCATTGTTATTGATATGAAAATGTCTCAAGGTAATTATTCTAAAATTTATACTTTTCAATACTGGACTAATTTGTGCATTTACTAGCCAATATGCTTAGGTGAGCATATCGCCCATTGGCCACTTGTTTATTTTAGAAATCTTCTCACTTGGTATGAATTGCCAATGATCCCCTTTTGGTGTCTGTTCTTATCTTTTTAAGCAGAATAATGTTAGGGTTGAACAGGATGCTGAAGTGAGGAAGACTCCCTCTCCCATTAAACTGCAGACATCAGCAGAAAGCAGAGTAAGATTCAGACTTGACTTCTTGTATCTTTGCTTGCCAATTGATGTTGGCTGTACCAAGCTTTAACCTTTGGACTTCCGACAGATTTCAGTTCCTCTTTAATTCAGAAGAGGAACAACAATGGAGGACCAAGGTCATTAATATAAGAAGAGTCTATTCCTGTCTGTGTTTTGAAGGCATTGTGTTTCAAAAGTGGTAAGCAACAAGCTGCTTTTTACTGAAGCTTCTCACTTGATATGAAGTGAAAGTGTTTCCCCTTTTATGTCTCTGTTTTATCTTTTTAAGCAGAAGAAAGTTAAGACTGACTAGGAATTCTAAGTGAGGAAGAGTCCCTCTCCCATTCCGCTGCAGCCATGAGGAGAATATTTGTACTTCTTTTTTTTTTTACCTATGGAACTTCATCAGGACCCACTTTAACAAGCAGGAGTCTTACAAGTATTTTCGTTTAATTATTTCTGACGTTTTTTTGTTCTCCCTTCTCTAAAGTAACTATGCATTCCTCTCCTTGCCCCAATAATCCACCTTATTCCTATCATAACCTTATTGCCTTAATTTGCTCTTTGATTTTCCAGCTAATAATGTTGTAATGCGCTATGATTATGATCATTTGAGTTTCTTTGATTATTACATTGCTTTGAATTATTGCTTATCTTCTCTCCATCAAGTATTTTAAAGGGATTTGACAAGGGAAGAAGGAAGAAGACCAGTGCTGACCAAGAGAAGAAGAAGAGTCCATTGCCAAGCTTTGTCCAGCAGCCAATATCTGATAATGGAGTGAGTAAAAAGCTCTTTTTTTTGCAATTTTCAATTTTTCTTTATACACTTATTCAAATCATAGGTTCAGGGTGATTTACTTCTGCAGCACAACAGCAACCATGTTGCAATCTAAAGCATCCTGAGGATGTCTTGATTCAAATTAGGTTACATCATGATCCCTTTGGACTAGGATTAGTAAAAATATAAATTAAGATTTTTTTTTTCTTCTGATGACAAGGTCAAGATGATTCAGGTGAACATTTTGGCACAAGGTCTCCTTCATTATTTTCAATGATCTTTAGATTTTTCTTTGTTAACAGGCAAAAGATGAGACTGACCTTAACTTGTTAAGAAGACTGGAGATGAAGGACTAACTACTGTCTAACCTGAAATCTTTGGTAATTAAGTCAGTTGTATGTCAAGCTCGAGACCTTGTGTTATGTGAATTAAATGAGCTTATGACACTCGCATTTCTTGAATTTCTAGTTTCTTTTTTTGTTAATAGGTAGGGGTTTATGCTGGCATTGATCCTGTTTCCAAAAGCAGCTTGCCATGTTTCTGTGAGAGTCCAAAGAGATCAGCTAGAACCTGAAAATAAAGGTAAGATACAAGCTCTGCAAACTCTTTCTAATCTGTGAAAATATGTCAGCCTTTTTTCATTTATTAAAATTTTATTAATATTTTTTTGATCCCTCATGATTTGTTATCTTTACAGACAGACTGCCATCAATTTTGTTTCTTTGACAGCAGAAAAATTTGCTTCAACAATAGTGCAGAGATTAAGGTTTGGGCTGCAAGTGATGGACACACTAAAGAGCTTAACTCACAGAAGTCAATGGACTGTGCTGAGTACATTGTTATTAGAAAGTGATGGACACACTAAACAGCTTACCTCACAGAATTCAATGAACTGTGCCGAGTACATTGTTATAATAAAGTGATGGACAGTTGGACACACTAAATATCTTAACTTGTAGGATTCAGTGCACTGTGCTGAGTAACTCTTATCAACACAGTGATGGACACACTAAACAGCTTAACTCACAGAATTTAATGGATATTGCTTGAGTACGTTGTTATTATAAAATGATGGACACAGTAAATAGCTTGACTCCAGAATTCAGTGGACCGTGCTGAGTACATAACTCATAAAGGATAACTCCTGACACATTCACAGCAGATCACTCAAAGTTAACTCTGTTAAATTTGTAATAAGGCAGTGGGAGAAAGCTCAGAGTGCTACTACATTATTGTACATCTTTTCATATCCTAAGTTATTTTTCTGAATGTTTTTTGTATCTGTGTATTATATTTTTAAATAAAAAAAATTTCTTATTAAAAGACTGGATTTTAAAGCAAAAATATCAAGAGAGGTAAATCAGAGATTGTCGGAATATCTAAGCTTAAGAGAAAGGGAGGCAATTTTTAGCTCACCTGAGCTGAAGACTCAAGTGAGCTTTTCTGATCACATTTTGTCCGTCGTCTGTCCGTCCGTCCATCTAGCTGTCCTTCTGTCTGTCCATCCGTCTGTAAACTTTTCACATTTTCGACTTCTTCTTAAGAACCACTGGGCCAATTTTGACCAAACTTGGTACAAATCATGCTTGGGTAAAGGGAAATTGTTAAAATGAAGGGCCATGTCCCCTCAAAAGGAGAGATAATCAAGAAAAGATAAAAATAGGGTTGGGTCATTAAAGAATCTTCTTCTCAAGAACCACTGGGCCACTAAAGCTGAAACTTATGTGGAAGCATCCTGGGGTAGTGTAGATTCTAAATTCTTCAAATCAAAACCCCTGAGGGTAGGGCAGGGCCAAAAAGTTTTACATAGAAATATATAGGAAAAATCTTTAAAAATCTTCACAAGAACCACTGAGCCAGAAAAGTTGAAACTTATGTGGAAGCATCCTAGGGTAGTGTAGATTCTAAATTGTTCAAATCATGACCCCTGGGGTAGGGTGGGGGACAATGGGGAATCAAAGTTTTACATAGAAATATATAGGAAAAATCTTTAAAAGTCTTTTTCTCAAGAACCACTGGGTCAGTAAAGCTGAAACTTATGTGGAAGCATACTGGGGTAGTGTAGATTCTAAATTGTTCAAATCATGACCCCCAGGGGTTTGGCAAGGCCACAATGGGGAATCAATGTTTTACATAGAAATATATGGAAATATCTTTGAAAAACTTTTCTCAAGAACCATTGGGCCAGAAAAGCTGTAACTTATGTGGAAGCATCCTGGGGTAGTGTAGATTCTAAATTGTTCTAATCATGACCCCCGGGGGTAGGGCGGGGCCACAATGGGGAATCAAAGTTTTACATAGAAATATATAGGAAAAATCTTCTTCTCGGGAACCACTGGGTCAGAAAAGCTGAAACTTATGTGGAAGCAAACTGGGATGGTATAGATTCTAAATTGTTCAAATCATGATCCCCGAGGGTGGGGCCACAATTGCCCATCAAAGTTTTACATAGGAGTATATAAGAAAATCTTTAAAAATCTTCTTCTCAAGAACCACTGGGCCAGAAAAGCTTAAACTTTTGTGGAAGCATACTGGGGTAGTGTAGAATTCAAATTGTTTAAAATATGATCAGTGGGGAAGGGTGGGGTCACAATATGTATTACAAGGGGGAAATCTGGTAAAGAACAGAATGGTCAAAGCTTCTCAGGTGAGCGATGTGGCCCATAAGCCTCTTGTCTTTATAAACCATAGTCCTAAGGCTAGACAAGGCCACAGTTGGTATTTCAATGTTAACATCCATCAAATATATTAAATAAATTATGGCATTTTGGGGGTTTGAAATATCAATCAAAGCTAGATAAAGTGCAGTATAATGAAATTTGTCCTTTTCAAAGCAATGTTAAAATAAAGACCGAGTGATATTGGCCACATGGCCCACCTGAGTCAAATACTTCCTTGTAAACATCGTCATGCAGATAAATAAAATTTCTTATTGTCAACCAAGTTAAAGTACATGACTTTGCCAATATAAGTTGATGTCAGCTTACAAAATGCAGTCTTCATATTTTTGGGATGTTACATGCATTGAACAAAATTCTGTTTTCCAATATAGTCTTTGGGGATGATTTTCAAACAAGTCAAATTCCTTCACATCAGCATTAATTTGAAAGATGTTAATTTCTGTCTGTATCATATCATAAATTTACAGTTTTTTTAACATATTTAGAATATGTGATGCTCTTTTTGATTCTAGATTCAGTTAAGGACAAGATTTTTACATTTAAATAAAGTCTATGGCTTTTTGTGACAATAAATGCTTTTAATTAAGAACAAGCCTCATGAATCCTAGATGCCAAAAATGATCCCAAAAGGTTGATTTTGTCTATCCTTACCTAGCACATGAATCAGTCAATTAGAAGAAAGAAGTTTTCAGAAGTTCCTTATCTCAATATATACATTTATGTTAATTCACAATTTCATATTCATCATCATCCGACGGCCAATCTTGCATAAATGTATACGAGATTGGCCGTGGGTTTCTGACGATGCATCTTCATATTATTTATACTTTCCACCGACTGTCGGTCATTTTGACAATACACGTTTAGTGCTGCATTTAATCTGCATACATGTACATTTACAGTACATGTACCAGTATTTAGTTCAAAGTCATGTTTGATTGTCCAAAATTTCCAGTAATGTTCATGCAGTGCATCTTGCACAGTTCCTTGAATATATAGTAAAGCATAACAATGATCTTGATTTGAACAATTTAGAATCTACACTATCCCAGGATGCTTCCACATAAGTTTCAATTTTTCTGACCAAGTGGTTCTTGAGAAGAAGATTTTCAAAGATTTTTCATATATTTCTATTTAAAACTTTGATTCCCCATTGTGGCCCTGCCAAACCCCCAGGGGTCATGATTTGAACAATTTAGAATCTACACTACCCCAGGATGCTTCTACATAAGTTTCAGCTTTTATTGGCCCAGTGGTTCTTGAGTAGAAGATTTTCAAAGATTTTTCCTATATATTTCTATGTAAAACTTTGATTCCCTATTGTGGCCCCGCCCAACCCCCAGGGGTCATGATTTTAACAATTTAGAATCTACACTACCCAAGGATGCTTTCACATAAGTTTCAGCTTTTCTGGCCCAGTGGTTCTTGAGAAGAAGATTTTTTAATGACCCCACCCTATTTTTGTCTTTTCTTGATTATCTCCCCTTGTGAGGGGACTTGGCCCTTCATTTTAAGAATTTAAATTTCCCTTCACCCAAGAATTCTTTGTACCTAGTTTGGTCAAAATTGGCCCAGTGGTTCTTGAGAAGAAGTCGAAAATGTGAAAAGTTTACAGACAGACAGACAGCTAGACAGCTATATGGACGACAGACAAAATGTGATCAGAAAAGCTCACTTGAGCCTTTGGCTCAGGTAAGCTAAAAACACAATTAATTTTTAGCGATATGAAATTTTAGCGATCTCAGCACCCTTGCTAATAATGCCAACATTAAATCCTCGCAAAAAATTCCGTTATTTGGTATTTTCTTGACTCCTATCAAGATGAGATGAAAAAGTTTGACTGTATTTCATTATAGTTACTAAAATTACAGTCTGGACACAATTTGAGAAAAAAAGGCAGGAAATTGTTTATGGATGCAACTTATCTATTAGTGCTGAACAATTAATTGAACAAGCTCTTTGATTCATAATTCTCATTTTATTCATGACTATTTTGTTTAAGAATTAAAACATGTATAATAATCAAGACTAAGGCCTAACCCAAGAGTCAAATATGCAATATGGCAAATGTTGAGAATATTCATGGCACCAGAGCTTCATTTTAAAACTTTAAAGTGAAATAACACCCTTATTCAAGTCAATAAACTTGAAATATTTGAGATAAACAAACAAAAAAATATGGTGCATTCAATTATTGTGCCAAAAATTGTATCATTTAGAGGTATGCAGTTAAAAAGATATGCCAATTTATGAGATTAAAGATATTTTTTTTAATCACAACTAAGAGTCAAGATCACAGCTGAATTGTGGCACAACCATGAAAGGCACGGCATTCCTTCATGGTTTTTTCAATGGTCCAGGTGTCGGTGTTCGGGTCATAGCACTCCACGATATTACTGGGCCGTGAATCGACCAGTCCTCCTGTCAGATAAATTCTGTCCCCTAGAACAGTGGCCCCACTATATTTGTGAGAATAATGCAAGTCGGCTAGTGTCTGGAATGTTCGCTTCTGAGGATTCAAAGCTATCATTTTCTTCGAATCCTCCCAGATGATATAAAATATCCCATTAATCACAACTATTTGAGCAAACTGTATGGCATCTGGTAGGATGAACTGCTCTCCTGTAGACTTCATCTTACCATTTTCACTCAGCATATAGCTGTCTATGGTTTTTACTTTAACTCCAGCTTGAAGCCCTCCGACCTCTACCAGCGCATCGTTGTGAGAAACAATCCTTGAAATACTACGAGGAAATAGAGAATGTCCCACTACTGTCCATGCTTTAATTCTGGAATCGTAACTCTCTATTGTATCTAAATCTTTGCATGATGAGGTTGTTTCATACGTTATGCCTCCTAGAACAAAGAGTTTTTCTTGCAGGACTCCTGATGAATGCTGAGCTCGAGGTTTAAGGAGAGGGGGCATTTCCAACCAAACTCGTTTTACGCTGTCAAATTTCCAAACTTCAGATATGATACGATTCTCCAGAATTCCTCCAGTCACAACTATTGAATTTGATACAGCACAAACACTAAAGGAAGTCACTGACTTCGGAAAAGACGGAAGATCAAACCATTTATCCTTCTGGGGGTCATACATCTCCATTGACTTTGTTCCTTGACCTCCAATCACTACCAGTTTCTCTGTGGCAACAGTGGATGGACGGGGATGCACCTGGGAATTCTGCATGCTGCGTCTTCTTCGGCCATGTTGGTCATGTATGGACTCATGCTGTTCCTTTGCCTCCATCACAAGTTTAAGACAACTGGGGATGCTTCGTATGAGGGGATTGTGCTCAATTTCTGTCAATGTGTTTAAATCTATGACAGGAAGTCGGACCTCTTTCAGAAGTTCACATAAATCATGGCGCCTTTCGTCGATGTCATAATTCACCCACTTCATAACGGCCTGGTATACTGTATCCTCCACTTGTACTTCAATCCAATCACTCGCAATGTATTCTTTCAGACGATTTAAACTCAAGTGTAGGAATTCATCACTCTCCACAACAG